AGAATCATTCATTTTCTGACAGTAATGAATATTAATCTCAAATCGCCCATTATCTTCTCATGCCGCTGTTTCATACTATCAATTTAAACCCATTCATGAACAACTTTTCGGATGTGTTTCTATCGAAAGCTCTCAAAAAATTCAGAGGTTCCCTATTCGGATTCAGTGAGTTTGTCAGTTTTCCTTTCAGGTTTACTAACTGCAAACGAATTCCGAAAGCTCGTGACTGAAACATTTTTAATGGCACCACCAGCATGCTCCCTATTGGTGACGCTGAACAACGTCAAATATGCCGGCAAATTTACGAATCTGAACCGATTTTTTGAGTTGCTCGACGCTGTTGAAGAGAGTGCGATTGAAAAAATAACACTAAAAAGTTTCGATAAGCGACCGGATGATCGTAAGTTAACAGCACACCAATGACACTGATGACAGCACGTTTTAATTAATTTCTTCACAAGATTAGATGCAATATGGTTATAAATCAGCTGAAAATCTGCACTTTATTAATGGTGGGATTCCAGAAACTTGATTAGATTTCGAATTTCGATTTTATCGAAATCCAAGATCAAAGTTCCAGAAGATATCAAATGGCAAGACAAAATTTGTCAAAATCAGTTCTAATCGCCAACCATATTTCAGCTGAATGGTGCACGTTTGTGGATGAAATCGGTAGATTGTTATGGCAACTGCAAGATCGTGTTTACAATATGACTGCGAATAGCAAATCTCGCACCTTCACGGTACTTCTGTTGTTTCATATCGTCTGACACAGTCGAATTCAATCCACTTTCCTACAAAATATCCAAAGAATCATTTTATTTGTCTTCTAACACATGCCATCAGAATCACGACAACGATTAAGCTTTCCGATCAGTGCAGTTGAATTGCATTTGATCTATCAATGCCATTTTTGCATCACATTTCCTTTCTGATACCACACTGTCCATATATCCGAACTCGGGACTGGTACGCAAAGTTACTGATTTATAGTTTCTTCTGTTCAAATGGTAGTAGTTACTCAATCTGACACGATCATAGAAGCTGAAAAAAGCAGTCTGTGCTGTCTGAGCCACCAAAAAATTCTGATTTCCGTGCATATTTTCAGACGTCCGGCAAAGATGATGTTCATTTGGTGTTTCTAACGAATCACTGGAAACGTATTTTAAAAACAGTGAAAAACGGTATACTGACGGCAAAGGAACGAATCGAGAATTCTACGGATACAAATATGCAATTTATTGCTGCACTGATACCTCATCTCTTCAGAGGATCCCCTCAGGTGGTGCTTGATTGCTTCATGCCCAAATATTGCTCTATTGTGATCAATTTGTATGAATGAGCGCGACTGCGCTATTTGATTGTGATAGATCTAAGTAAATGGCTATAGCTCCTCAGGAAAGCAAAATCGCTCGGCAAAATATATGTTTTTCTGAATGAAGAGATCCAGCTGGATCGACTGATGCAAAAAAATTCATAGGTTACTGGGCAAACTTAAGAAGTCGGTAGTCTTGAAGGTGGAACCCGAGATAGTATTAATAAAATGCCTATATCTCCTCAACTAAGCCAA